TTTACCGATGTGACGGTAAAAAATGGGGGAACTGCATTGACTCACGTGGGTGCCTTCTTTATTAATCATGGGCTTTGAAATGATTAATTTACTCGGGTCAAAAGGGCCATAGGTGACGTTGGGGTGACAGTTGTCGGCATTGAGACACTCGTGGTCATCTGAAACGATATATACTTGGGTTGACATGATTCTGATTTTCCCGGCTTTGTCATATATCTTTCTCATTTTTATTCAGCTGCGTCTATTAATTCGGGTGGGATTTCTACTTTAATTAAATGTTCAATGGCAATGTCGTATTCAATAATTAGCCCAATTTCGTATAAATCCGAGTCGAGTTTAGTCGCTGAATCGGGCAGTGGCTCGTTTTTTAGCGCGTGCCTCAGCTTTTTATGCTTACCGTCTACGAGCACTATGTGATCCACTCCTTCCAACTCGACACAATTTATGCAGCAGTTGCAATATGTACAACCAAAACATTCGATACAATTGCTGCATTCATAACAGTCCCCGCAACTGTCCAAGGTATTTGAATTTTGGCAGTAGTATGAATTAAAACAAGCCACGCAATTTATACATCTACCGAAATTGTCGCAAGTGGAGCAGTTATTACATCTGGCGCAGTCGTTACATTTGTGGCATTCATGGCATTCTTTACAATTGTACATTGAAACAAACAGTCAGAATTTAAACAACGAAAGCAATCGTACAAATCTACTGAATCGATCGAATTTCTCGTGTCTTTGCAGAATTTGCAGAAATAACAATTAACGTTTGATTTATGGTCTACCATATCCTTTTATATAGATTCTTTTTATTTTCCTCATTTTTTCTAACAACTTGACTTGACATGTTTTATATATATTGTTATTTTTATATATAGTCCGTTTATTTAAGGTGGTTGTAAACTGTGAGATGTCACGAGTTCAGGCAGGAAAAGCGAGGGAAATCCCCTTTTTTGTTTGAGAGTCACGGGGTCAAAGGTCTAGGTTGTTTGTGCGAGGTCGGTGCAGGCAGGCGCACGTCGCGAGTTGTTGACAAAAAAAGTACGCCGGGGCCAAAATGTCAAGGTGAGTGAAGTGGGAAACCCCGGCGCGGGTGGTGGAAAGTGGTGGAAAGGGGTGAAAGGGAGTGAAAGGGGAGGTGCTCCATTACTGTCTTATGGACTTTGGACTTATGGACTTTTAACTCCTAAAACAAACTTTGGGGAAACAGTGTAGAAAAAAATTTTGTTCACATCGAAGTTGCTTGTGGACGGAGATGGAAAGGAGATTCATTGTTTGCATTAACATATTTTACACACAGAAGTACTATATAGGACACATTTGTTCATTCGTATCATGCTCTCGACGTCTCAGTGGGCATTATGTGTACGTGTTTGTCACAAGTCAGTGATATTTTACGCCAAGTGTTTGATTAATTTAAAGACACAAACTGTATGTTGCCAAGTTGGCCAAATTTCCTTATATATGCCCTTTTATGCAAAGTAAGGTGCGGTCCTGTATGGTTCACACCCGCATGGGTACACACCAGGCATGGGGACCTGAATAGTGTCTTATAGTGCCTGCTCACTGAGGCGTTGTCCAGCAGTGGTAGCCTTAAATACTGGGGTGTGTTTCTGTGTGACACACACTGACAGGCCTGTGGTGCGATAGCATACGTTTGAGCGACAGCTCTGAAGCCAGAATTTTATTAAGCTTTCAACCTTGTTAATGTGGATTGGAAATCCAGTGTTGACGGTAGCCATAAGTTGGGAGAGCGATTTGCTGCCCCAAATTTTCAGGAGAAAAGTTTAAAGAGGAAGGGCAGGCTGTGACAAGTTTCAGTGTGCTGTAAGACCTCATGAGCCAGTATATACTGTAAGTGTTCTTTTTAATTATTTTCTAATATTTAGCCATTATGTTTTGTCTGGTATATGTAAGTGCTACTACTATAAGTGCTACTTTATATCTGTAATAATGGGGAGTTCAAAAGCCAATTTTAGTGACCCCGGCTAAACCCAATTGTCTCTCTCTTCTCCATGATATTAATAAATATCAAAAACAAATGAGAACTGCATTCCTGATGTATAACAAAGTTCTGAAAGACAGGCCTTTCAAATCTTCATCCACATGGCACCCCAAATCCACTTAAAATTCAACTCTTGAGAACTAGTGTATTTGGAAGCCACCAAGATGAAACTACATGTAGCTCACATCCGTATGAGAAACACTTGAACCAACATGTCCAAAGCCAAATAGGCAGCTATTTCCAAACTCAACCCATCTGTTGTCATCAAACCCTATGACAAAGGCCGTGGCATTTGCATCATGAAATGAGAGGACTACCTAAAAGTCGGTTTCAAACATCTTGACTCCCACCACTATGAAAAAGTAAACAGGATTTCAGCCATGAAACCTCCCTCAAAGTTCACAATGTCTGAACCAACATGCTGAAAAGCAAGCACATAGACAAACACACCTTTGCTTACCTTGACCTGCTTGGACAACCCATCTCCTGCCCACCATGTATTTTCGTCCCAAAAAACACAAAACATCCCCACTGGGTGAACCCTTTGTTGGCAGGCCTATCATCAGCGGTTGCACAAGCCCAACAACCAAAATCTCTGAGCATGTGGAGTATTTCCTCCTTCCAATAGTAACCGCCAAAAAAACATATGTCCATGATACAACGGACATCCAGCGGAATCTAGAAAAGGAAAACTGTCCCCAAAACTCAATCCTAGCAAGCATTGACATTGTCTCCATGTATACCAACATTCACCAAGCACAAGCTATCGAACCGGTATGCAAGGCCTATGATACAACCAATTTCAGCTACGCCATTCCCAAACCCCGATCCACATACATGTATATCTGTACTCTCCTGGAACTTGTTCTAGGTTGCAGTTATTTTCAGTTTGGAGGAAGTTCCTTCAAACAGAAAATTGGATGTGAAATGGGTTCAGTAGCGAGTCCAGAAATTTGCGATATACATGTACGTGTAGCACTACGTGACTTGGAAATCTCAGCCCTCATGGATCAAATCCTTTTGAGGGCAAGATTCAGAGATGACATACTCATCATCTACAAGGTCCATCTTGATTCCTTCATCCAAATTGTCCACCATCTGAACCAACTGCATCAAATTCCCTCAACTCCCTCAAATTTACTTTTGAGGCATCTAAATCTTCCATCACCTACCCGGACCTTACCATATTCAAAGGTCCGCATTTCCGCAAAGCTGGTACCCTGGATACTAAAGTATTCATGAAACCAATGGAAACATTCCAATACTTAAAGAACTTCATCCCATCCACAACACGTATTCCACGGCTTTATCAAAGGTGAAATCCTGAGATATGCCAGAAATACAAATAATAAGGATGACTTTCTAATAAATGTGAAAAGTTTCAAGAAAAACTTCTAACTCAAGGCTATACCCAAGCCAAATTTCTGAAGTCGATGCAATCTATTCATTTCCAACAATGGAAATCTTTAATTCACACAGAACAAAACGTGAAGGCAAAGAAAGAACTTACCTCATCTTTACCACTACACACAATCAACGAGTGAATTACAAGGATGTCAGAAATACTCTTCTGGAACATTGTCACCTTATTTCAAGCAACCCACGCCTCAGAGAGATTTTCCCTAAACCTCCACTTGTTGCTTACAAAAGCGCCAACAACATCCAAAAAAACTTGTCAGAGCCAAACTCAGCCATGTAGAAAACAACCAGTCCTCTACACCTGAAGAACATGATGACACCCTTGATATCCTAGTTTCCTTATTGGATGAACAAAACCCATCCAACTAAATTGTGTTGTTAATATCATATCCCATACAGACGGCTACCCAAATTTCCCGTCTTGTGAGTGCCACTCACTCAGTAAAACCATACCTGGATTCCTCAGGAATCGTGCGACTGATGAGTCCCTGAAGGGATGAAAATGCATTCTCACTAGTATCAGGTAAAATACCCCTACCCAACTCACTGCTTCGGTAACCATGGCACCAATTTTATATAAGTCAGTTCCTCCCCATTATTTTTGCCCTCTCGAGACTCCATTTTAGTCTCTATGTGGAAATCAATCAGACAAAAATAAACCTTCAAATAAACAGTTGCTTTTATCCAAGTGTATTCCCACATCAATCTATAAGACAGCGCATCTCTGAATGGGATAGAGCCATCACTTCCTCATCCATACAAACAGCAAGGGATTACTGCATTTGTCAGTGTCACCCCTGGGGTGGGAAATCCATCTGACCAGCAGACTATGCAGTTATACAATGTCAAGCATCCTCGACAGAGAGCAATAAACCAGGCAATCATCAAGAACTTGATGGTTGGATTTTTTTGCCACGTCCATCGTCAGGAATGCCCACTTTCGAGACTTTATGAAAGTTATCTGTTTTACATTGAGGGGGCTTAGCAGTGAGGCCTTACCGTTCTTCCCCGGGGAAGTCTGCTGGAGTCCGCAAACTTTTTTTTAACAAAAGGGCACTTGACAACAACGACCGTATGCAGCAAGAACGGTGTATGTTAATCTACAAACATGAATATTCCATTTGCTCCGCGTTCAGAACACCCTGCGCAAATTTAGGTCAGGCCATTTAAATATCAATGTCAACTGGAAAGTCCGCGATCGGAACAGCTGATCAAAGACCTGTGTGTACCGGAGAGCCCCACCAAACCGCAATCGGAACGACATGTTCATTCATGGTTGGCCATTATGCTACAATTTGAATTTGGAACTCCTGACATCAAAAATTGGGTGTTTCAGTGATGACAGTAGGCCCATGCAACTAGTTGAATGTACGTGCCCAAAACTGCACAGTGGCTGGAGTACCTGCCAGGCCCTGCAGAGATGCAGCGCAGCACTGCACTAGGTGTACATAACATGCATTTGCGATCGCCTGTTCAGAGCAACCACACGCTGGCCATGTAAAGTTTGTTCACACCGAGCTAGACTAGTCGGTTTGCACACACTACACAACGTGACAGTCGTGAGCGACCACTACCTTGTCTCTTTTCTCCATGGTATGGACTAGTTGAGTCATGTGGGCCAAGTGCCAGTGCATCACAGCCATGACTAGTCCGATCTGGCACAAACATGATCCTTCTTGCTTGAAGATATACTGTATTTATTCATCAGCGGGGCCATGCATCTGTGCTTTAAGCTTTGAGATTGTTGCATTTTTATGCATGTCTGTGGGATAAAAAAAGGATTTGCAATGAATGTACACACCATGGAAGAGTCTTGTTTACTTGCCAGAGATTTTATTTTAATACAAATCTGTGTTTCATTTTGTAATGTGTGATTCCAAACTGTTCCCTGTAACTCCTCTGCCATCAAAAGTTGAGTTCATTCACCAAAATAGGGATCATTTATTGTTTTCTGTATTTCATTTTTAATGCATAAAAGTTTGTGAAATGAACAAGTTTTGTTTGCATAAAGTAATAATTACTGTACGTTCTGTGCAAAGTAATTTAAAACACTTTATTCATTATAAGCTTTCCAACGTTGTTTATGTAGAAATAGGGTTTCATACCTCCCTTGAAGAAAATGAAAATGTCCAAGTCATGTGAACGTGACTGATCATCCAGGATGCACCTCATACCTTGACATACATTATGCATGTTTGGAAACCATTTGCATTCAAGTGATCTACTCATATGCTAAATAATAAGGGCACAATTTTGCGCCAAAGGTTTTGTGAAGTTGTTTTACTTCACATCGCATTTGCATGAAGTACAACTCAGAATTCACAGAAAGGCAGAATAATGGACCGTAATACAGGTTCCTTTAATGCCAGGTTCACACTGATAATGATGCCATAAAGCATTTTCTCCTATAAAATTTTCCAGGGGGCAAATATGTTCAACATTTGCCAACTCTTAAATAATCAGCGCAAACGTGAACATGATTTTTACGTAAGTTGGTGCCGAATTTGCGCTGCAAATTTTAAAACTAAACACCCAATGCACAAATTCGCAGCTGATGCTTCTTTAAGTCAAAACTGCATTTCAACACTGTAAAATCCACGGAAAGAACATAATATGTGAATGTTTCTCCAAGTCTATCATTTTGTTCCAACATCATCCTGTCCATGAAAAGAACGCAATATGTAAGTGTATCTCCAAGTCGATCATATTTTCCAACACCGTCCAGTCCGGGGAAAGAACGCAGTATGTAAATATGTCTCTGTGTCTTGTGACGTAGTTTCTCTGCAACAGTAGCGCCCAGCCGGGCCAGCTCATTAACTCTGTGTGCTCTCCAGTGCACACGAGCGTGCAGTTCATGAACTTTCCGGCCTCTTAGCAACGACAGACTTGCAGTAAAAAAGCAGGCTTTACGCAGGAGAATGGTAAGGCCTTGTTGGTAAGCCCCCTAATAATAAAGGTTGATGAGGTACATCACAGTTTCTGTAGAGTCAGTACCTGTAATTGGTGACTTAATGTTTTGCTGGGTGTTTCCCACTGTGACTGACGCTGTGCAAAGTCATGCTTGTATAACTGCTTTATTTTAATGGCTTTATTATAGCTCACATAGTGCAAATGGAAAAAGTTTTGGCTGAGATTTGCTGAATAACTGAATACCCCTTTCAATCCAAACACATTACCAAATTGGCCCCAAAGATAGAAGCTACATGTATCTACCCCAGTTTGGAAGGGCATGTGCCAGTAATCTGCATCATTTTGTGTTTCCATTGTTAGCCCATTCCTTTTCCATGGTTTGAGTGTTCATTTTCTAAATTTCAGATCATAAAGGCTAACCTGAAGAATGCTCTTGGTAAACAGAGCCCCGTACTACAGCATTTTGTGGATGGTACAGTGGATATCTCCAATCTAGATGGAATTGATGTTTATCATGTTTATACATAACATGCATAATAGTTCACATCGGAATTCCTGGAAATCAAGTTAAACGTGCAAATGCAAAAGCCATCACAGAGAGAGTGTGCAAGAGTCTTTAAAGAAACAAAATGTCAAAGCTGAGCAAGAAATCAACCAAAGCAAGAGAAGAAACAGCACACCTCCACTGACCTCACCGTCAAGTTCCACCTCCAGCATACTCTGCGGACAACAGTCACCACCCACCAATAACTCCAGTGATGACAAACTCGTTCTCTCACTGGAGTTAGAAAACACTGGACCCTCCAACGACAACACACCGTCAACCTCTCACCACCTCCTTGACACACATTTCAAATGGGTAAAATCCCTGGCAAAACAAACAACACAACCGCTGCCAGAAACCACATCACCTGTCAAATCCGACTCCTGTCCAGGGCAGTTGAGACATCAACCCTGCCACCTTCACATCACAGTTGCGGTCTGACAACTAAGACCACGCCGTTCCTCAGATACATGTACCACAGCTCATTTACCCAGCCTACATCCTCTTCGACAAGCTTTCGGATGCCAGATACTATGCCCAAGAAGAACTTGCTGATCTCCAAGGCCGTGACCACAGCACAGCTCAACAACTCTTGAGCTCCCTGACCTGGCCCCAACAAACCAAGAGCCTGAAGAGGAAATGACCCTATTGAGCCTGGCAAAACAACAAAAACCAAACGGTCTTTTTCAAGACCTCCACAAATTCAAAAAAGAGATTGGCTATTCACTCTCTGCTTTCCAATAACAATCAATCCTGAATATAACCCAACTGTTATATTCCTTATCCCAATCCCTAAAAAGATGGTAAAAAAAATTTCTTTAAGAAAACAAAAGATCACTCAGTCAACAGAAATCGAATAAATTTTCTGCTAAATGTAAATCTCTCAAAAAACCAGCCAATACAATTGGGCAGTTGGAATAATCTCTGTCTGTCCTAAAGTCTGATCCTAAACCTTTACTCTGAGGCGGAATCCCTAAGACAGACAAAGGCAGATAATTCATAAGGCAGTGGAGAAATATTTCTAGAATTCTCAATTATGCTTCTAATTTATTTACATTCAAACTCATCCTTCAAGTTCAAGTGATTCTTCTTTGTCAGGTGAGGTGAATTCAGCCTGCATACCCCCTCCGTTTATTCTAAGCCTCAAGATTATTGCTGCAACTGCACGTGTAGCTATTAAGACTGGTAGCCAGTCTACTGTCTGTACGTGGCCATCTTCGCTACATGTGACACCGGTACAATTATTATAAACCTCAATTCCTCAGGCTCTTCGTGTCTCTACTTGGCTCATTACTCCTTTTTGTCAGTTTTCCTGTCATCATAACCCTTCTTTCTAGTTCGTCATCATCTTCCTGCTTCTTCCTGGTGCCGGATCGCTTCTTCCCACAGGGCCCGTTCTGGAGGCGAACAGAGCACTTGAATGTGATGCTGGCTCGCCTTTTATAGATTTTTGGCAGGGCTGAAAACTGCACACGTACATGTATGCTGACAGGCTAAAAGTGCGTGTCGCACACATGCAAATGAAGTCACCCCACTGACAACGAAAGCACTGAGTACATGTACATGCATTTAAGTACACCGTTAATTTGTGTCTTAAATGTCAGGCACACATACATGTATACAATGGGCAAATTCAATGACACTGTGCATGTAATACGTATAGCGTTTCCACACGTACGCTTTACAAATCGCACCAGAATATAAAAGAAACAACACATTAAATAGCATTAGTGTTAAAATGGACGGCTTCTACACATTATGATGGAATTATTCTGTAAACAGTTGGCATTCTTGGTACGTTTGTGCAGCTAACAATGTTTGACTTGTCCACTGAAAAATCACTGAAATTGCACAAGTTCCACTTCTTTCCTGTCAGACACAAAAAAATGATTCCTGCCAACTTGGGAAGAATAAAGAAAAATGTATTTTTGTCACAATATATGAACAGAAATGAGAAACAACCAATATATCGACAATTATAGTCGTCTGTCACCATGAATAGCTTGAAATCCCATCTGTCGTCACTCTACGGGGAGCCCACCACGACCAAGGTCAAGCACTACGAACGAAATTCCATCAAGCGTTCCAAGAGCATCAACAACCTGACCTTCCTGAAACGATGCAGAGTCCGACACCATTCCTCCGGGACATCGCCTCCGTGATCCCATCTGCAGCCGCAAGTCCAGCTCCAGCTCCTACCTTCAGTCCAAGGAGTCCTTTACTAAGCACACCGTGGTCAACATGAGTAAGTGCTCCTTGTCCTCTAGCGAGGAGAAAGTTCTTGCCCTAGGCCTGAACTTTGCGCTCACTCCCTGGCCTCTGCCCAAGGGCAGAGATCGTTTAAGTCACTGAGCCCACTCTCTGCTGCCTAGACAAGACCACCGCCGATGAGATTCGCATTGACATCAGCCAAGCCCTCCGGAAACACAAGAACCCCAAGCCCAACACCACTAGAGAAGACCGTTCAGCCATCAAGTCCCTCCGCCAAGACAAATCCATCCACATTTTCCTTGCTGACAAGGGCAATGCCACTGTGGTCATGGACCAGGTTGAGTATGATCACAAGGTCGTGGATATACTCAATTCGGGCTGCTGCCGTGAATTTGAAGAGACCCCACGGCAGCCATTGAGAGGAAGCTGCAACAGAAGCTTCTCTCCCTCCATCGCTCTGGGAACATCACAGAACAGCTGTACCAACAGTTACGTCCATCCAACTCAAAGAGCCCAAGATTCTTCAGCCAGCCCAAGATACACAA